ACTACTACTACTACTACTACTACTACTACTACTACTACTGCGACTACGACTGCTACTACTATTTCTACGACTACTACTACTACTACTACTCCTGTTTTTATTACTGCTACCGCTGCTACTAAGCAACTACTACTCTTACCACGATCATCAACAATAATAGTATTGATATTACAACCAATACAATTACTAATGCTATTGCGAATTCTAACGACAAACATGTTAATGCACATAAGAATAATAAGACTATAGGGCAGATGCACGGGGAAGGGGAAGGATCAAGTTGAGGGTGGAGGAGGAGGAGAAGGAGGATGATGATGAGGAGGAGGCGGAGGAGGAGGAGGAGGAGGAGGAGGAAAGAGGAGGGGGAGGAGGAGGAGGAGGAGGAGGAGGAGGAGGAGGTGGAGGAGGCGCGCCTGCCATGCCTGCTTGGTGGACGCTACAAGGCGTCCGTGAAGGGTACTCTGGCGACGCTGACCCTCTGGGCAGGGGCCTCCCGTTGCAGCGCTGGCGCGATACTAGCCTGCTCGTGGACGCGCTGGGGGTGGACTTTTTCATCAGCGCATCGTGCTGGCTGTAGCCAGGCGTCGACTTGGGGCTGCACTTGCTCGAGGTTGCGTTTGAAGCGATTGGGCGTTCCTCAGCCGCGTATGATGCAGTGTGCGGCTGCCGCCTCCACGAGTCCCGCGTGCCCGTCGTCTGGCGGCGCGACTGGTCGGACGCGTCCTGGATCCAGTGGTACGTCGTGGATTTCTGCACCTTGGTCGGCGGGTTCGTCATCCCGTCGAAGGGCCCCGACGCGCCAGAGGCTGTGCGGAGCAAGCTGGTTAACCGGTTGTTTGACCATGACGATGCCATGCGTTTGGAGCCCCTGATCATTACGGCAGCCGTCGCCTACGGTGACCTCAACCCGATCGCGCGCCTCCTCAGGCAGCGCCGGGACAGGCTCGCAGAGCGGCAGTAAACAGACCGCATCCCCGAGTCGACCCCGACGCGCGTTCAGGGTCGCAGGCTCGACGTCGCCTGGGCCACGCTGGCGTCGCGGCCGCTGCCGACAATGCCGCTGCTGTCCACAGTGGCGCTGCGTGCTGGGGGCGCGGCTGCACGCGGCCGCAGCGCGGCCGACGCCGCGAGGCCTTCGGCAGCCAGAGCTTGGACCACTTCCCAGTAGTTATCCAGGGCTCGGCCGCACAGCGGGGGAGCGGGCTCGTCGAGCTTCTCAGAGGCTGGCGTCTGGCGTTCCTTCGGCAGGGGGCCGTCCGATTGGCATCTGGCGCTCCTGGCCCGTGTGGGAGTTATGGCGCTTGTCGCAGAGGAGCTTGAGAGATTGGGGGGGCATCGTGCGACGCCGCAGTCAGCGCCAGAGGGTTGATCTGATTTTCTGCAGAGGCGGGGTCGTGTTTTTGGCGGGCTGCGTGCTTCCTCGGCGCTGCGTGCGGTGGGTTGATGTACGTATCCCCCTCGCGGCACGACCGCCTTGGATGGTTGACAGCGCAGCACCCTTTTTGGCGCAGGTGGTGCAGGCGTGCGACAGAGCGCGTTCTGCACAGGTGGGGGGTTCGAACCGCCCACCCCCCTCTGTCCAGGGGGGGGGGTCGAACTGGGAGGGCCCCCCCCCAGGCTGGTGCTGCAGGGGAGGGGCTCGAACCGGGGGGGCCCTCTCCCCCTGAGTTGCACGGGGGGGGCAGGGAGGAAGGGCCCCCTACCCCCCGAGCGCAGCAAGGGCCTCCCAACGCGCGACCAGCTGTCTTCCTCAGTCGACACCAAACGTGTCAACCCGACACGTCAAAAGCGTGCCGCGGCGGTAGCTGTGCGAAGCTGTCTGGCGGGCGTGGGCGAACGGAGGACCCGTCCGAAGCTGTCCGCAGGGCGTCCTCGCTCGAAGTCGAGCCATGCCTCGTGCGCCGAATCGCCAGGCCGCTCCAGCGGTGCGGCTGCTGTCCGGGCGGAAGCAACAAATCCGGAATTCACGGTCAGAAGCGGTCCGGCGACTGTGGCCGAGACACGACTCGGACAAGGAGGCGGGGGCGGAGGACGAGGAGGAGGGGGAAGAGGAACGAGGGGGAAGAATAACAACGCGGCGAGCAGACGCCAACATGCAGGAGGAGAGGGAGGGCGGCAGAGGTAGCAGCGAGCAAGCATGCACGTTGAGGGCGGGCGGTGGGAACGAGTGGCGTCGGTGGCAGTCGGGGGGTTGTCGTGGCTCGTCGCGGGTCAGGGTGTCGCCGTGGTCGTCGGGGGGGCTGGTGGCCGTCTTGGGTCAGGGCCGTCACCGCAGCGGGGTGTCGGGCGGGGCGTGAGGGGCGCACGGGGGGTGCTCGAACCGGGAGAGACCCCCCTCCCTGCGACCGACGACGGCAAGCGCCGGCGCAAGCGCCGGCGCCGTCGGGCAGCGACGACGATGACGACGACGCCGACGACGGCGCCAGCGCTGGCGCCGTCGGGCAGCGACGATGACGACGATGGCGACGGCGACGGCGACAACGACGACGACGGTAACGGCGACGGCGACGGCGACGCGCACAGGGGGGCATCCCGCTTGAGTTGCAAAAGGGGGGGGGTCGAACAAGGGGAGGGTCGCCCCCACCCTTGGCGCTGGCGGCGACGACGACGACGACGGCGACGGCGACGACGATGGCGACGACGGCGGCGGCAACAGCAACGGTGACGGCGAAGGGGGGGCCCCCCCTTGTTCGGACCCCCCTGTACGCGTTGTCGTCGTCGTCGTCAAGAGCATGCCCCCTATCCGATTCAAACTTCAACTGTGCATTCAGATCGTTGTTCGGTTTCTCATGGCAGTGCCGTGCCAGTGGAAGAACCAATCAACGTTCCACCATTGGTAATCGGGCACGCCGCAGCATACATAGGAAAGCTACAGGACCTCGAGCACGAACACAATCGAGCTGCGGATTGCAGACTCGATGTGGGTTATTTGGCATGAGGACTCGATTGGGGCAGTTAGGGCAGACGAAGCTTGGCTTGGGTGACTCCCTGATCGTGGCAGCCATGGGCTAGGAGGGGCGCCCCGTCCGAGCTGATTTGGGCTTGCCATTGGGTGAGCTCGTCGCTGGCCTTGCCGAGACCTTTGATGCGGTCCAAACCCTGGTGCTGATTTGATCGCTCGCCGATGGCGAAGGTAGGGGAAGATTTGATACTCACCGCTGGCGTGGTCCAAAACTCTGCAGCCCACGTCGTCTCCCGCGTGGCCCAGACGCCCCCAGTCCTGGTGGACTTTGGCATGCTCGGGAGCCTTGAGACGGGGGTCTATGCAAGTTTGAGTCAGCCGCAACGCAACGTCAGTTGCTTACTGGATGTTTGCCAGCATGCTGAAGCAGTGGTTTCCAGACGCTGGACTGGACAGCCGTATCTGGCCATCGCAACGCGGCTTTCGTGCCAGGCGCTGTGCAGAAGACGCCGTCTTCATAGCCAGGAGGCACCTTGAATTCGCATGCGGAGAAGGCAACGGGGCGGTATTATCTTTCCTGGCGCTAACCATCACCGGGGTAGTGGTTGGAGAGAGGGAGCGACCGCATGACACCACGCTGGCACATGTGGCGCCGTGGCGGCCCCATGTCACCCAATTTGGCATGTTGGAAAAATTCGGGGTGCCCAATGCGCCATAATGCGGATGTGAAGGAGGAAGGAGGACGCAGGAAGAGAGAGACAGGACGCCGTAGGAGGAGAAAGGAGGGGGTACGACGAGTAGTACTTGGAAGGAGAGGCGAAGGGGGCCTGGTTACCGCTTGTCTGTCTGTGAGTTGTCGTCGTCGCCGTCCCTCATTGTAGCCGCCGCCGTCGTCGTCGTCGCCGTCGTCGTACACGTCCACTCGGATTCGCTCTCACATCCCTGCCACACACTGACAGCGGGACGTGCCAGGAAATGAGATAAACATATTGGGATCTCCGCACCGTTTTTTTGGCCGGCGGTTCGAAGAGGGGGCCCTGAGGGGATGGGGCCCTGAGGGCGAGAACGGCGAACACTGAAGGTCAACTTGAGACCTGCTTCCTGCCTGTGGGGTCCCATCCTTCAGGGCTCCATCTCTGAGCCGCCGATTCTCCTTGTGCGGCTCTCCCCTGTGCTCCGGGAGCTTCTGCCCGTGTGGCGTCCTGTTTTGGGTGTTGCGAGGTGGCCCTGGCCCAGTGGCCCCAGCTTCTCCCTGGCAGGCGCACATGGCCTCCAGAGCGCCCCTCTCGCCCGAGGCCCAGCGGGTCCCCGGCGGCTCCCACATGGCACGACGAGCTGGGAGCCCCTTGGGCCAGGACCACTCCTGACAATACTTGGTGTTGGCCCTCCATGGGGGAACTGAAATGTATCGATCCTCTCCCAGGGTGGAATTTTGAGGCGACTCCAGCCGTGGCGACGAGGGCCTCCCAGGAGGTCCAAAAAGTGGAAAAAGAGTCAAGGATACGGCAGGTCCGCGTCGTGTCGACTGGCGGCGACCCCGCCGCTGGCGTTCAAGGTTGAGCGCCGCTGGCGGCCCAGTATCGATCGATGTTGAACGATCCTGCGTTTCGGAAACCGCCGATCGTTCAAGGTTAAACGATCCCCGAGGTGTCGGGAACCCACGCCGGGGTCGACACGACGCGAACCTGCCGTAGCGGTGTGGGCACCGTTCTTCCCCGGTCCGCCAGGTCACCCGGGTGCCATAATCGCATGCACGACGATCGCACAATTGCCAGGGTGCTGAGGGCACGGGCCGAGCTTCCCCCCCCGAGTTCTAGATCGGTACGGCCTTCGGGCCGATCGGCGCTAGCGCAGCGCAGCGCAGCCTGCAGGTCACCATCACGCACCCGCAGACGGGCGCCCCGCTGGAGGTGATGCTTCCCCTCGGCGTCCAGGCGGGAGGCACGTGCACTGTCACGCTGCCCGGAGTGGCGGAGGCGCTGTCGCTGGCGAGCCCGGGCGCGCGCCGCCCAGTGACGTGGCAGGAGAGCACCCTCGCCGTGGTGTCGCTGCGGTGGTCTGGGGCAACGTTGCCTATAGGCCTCCCTGGATGGGGTCGGAGGATCGCGCCGCATCGCCGATGCATCGCCGATGCATCGGCGATGCGGCTCGATGGCGAGACCGACTTTCGCCACGCCGACGTCACTGGTGCACCGCCGACATTTCCGAGGCATCGCCAATTCATCGACGATGTATCGGCGAGTCGGCGCGACCTTCCGACTCTCTCTATACTCGGGCAGCATTTGAGAGGCCTCTACGATATGGGAGATCTTTGGGCATGTTTGGGGCCCCTGGGGCCCTTGCCTTCGGTCGGGCATGTCCCCCTGCAAGCGGATTATGAAGGACAGAAGTATCCCAAACATATTCAAACATAGTCAGACATACAACAAATCGTCCCCACTTTTTTTTGTTGTGCGTGTGTGTGTGTGTGTGTCTGTGTGTGTGTCTGTGTGTGTGGGGCTATTTTTGAATTTTCCTCCTGTATGCCCGACTTAACCCTTGCCGCTGATCGCCGATCGGGGCCTCATGGCCCACCCCGCCCAGGAACGGACGCGGCTCCGCCTCTCGGGTGCCTGCCGGCGAGGTGCCGCCGCTGCCAGTTTGATGTCTTCCCCCCCTTCCGAACCAGCCTCCCCTCAGCGTTACGTCGGGAAGGTCCCTCCACAGGAGGAAAATGCAAAACTAGTAAACATTGTTTGGGGGCGATTCCATGTATATATATATATATATGTCTGTATAGGTGTATGTATGCATGTATGTATGTATGCATACTGGGTTGTTTGTTTGTATGTATGTATGCATGCACGTATGTATGTGTATATATGTATGTATTTACGTACGCATGTATGTATGTGTATGCGTATGTGTATGTGTATGTGTATGTGTATGTGTATGTGTATGTATATGTATATGTATGTGTGTGTATATGTATATGTATGTGTACATGTACCTGCATAGGTACATGTATATGTATATGTATATGTAGATGTATAGGTATATGTATATGCATATGTATATGTAGATGTATATGTATTTGTATATGCATTTGTATATGTATATGTATATATGTATATGTTGTATATGTATGTGTGTTTATGTACGTGTATATGCATATGTATATGTACATGTATATGTATATGTATCTCTATATGTATATGTGTATGCATATGTATATGTATATGTATATGTATCTGTATATGTGTATATACACATATATGTATATGTATATGTATATGTATATGTATATGTATATTTATATGTATATGTATATGTAGATATGTATATATTTATGTATATGTATATGTTTATATATATATGTGTATATGCATATGTATATGTTTATGTATACGTATGTGTATATTTATATGTATATGTATATGTGTATGTAAATGTATATGTATGTATGTATGTATGTATGTATGTATGTATGTATGTATGTATGTATGTATGTATGTATGTATGTATGTATGTATGTATATATACATGCATGCATGTCTGTATGTATATTATAATATAGCTGGGCAAAACTGAGCATCTTTTATTTATTCCTGCAGGCTCCGCCTGTAGGGGAACATACCCGACCTAACCTCAGCGTCCCCCTCCCCCTCCAGGTGGAGGCAGGTGTGGCAGAAGAAGCGGTCGCTGTGCGCGACGTTCCTGGTGCCCCTGGCGCTGATGGTGCTCAACGCCCGCTCCACCTCCAACATGCTTCAGCAGCTGGCCAGCGGGGACGGCCCGGAGGGCGACGTTAGCACCAAGCAGACCGCCCAGGTGGAGGGTTGCTCCGAAGGGCTTAGGCGACCCGTCCTCCTCCTCCTCCTCCTCCTCCTCCTCCTCCTCCTCCTCCCTCCTCTTCCTCTTCCTCCTCCTCCTCCTCCGCCTCCTCCTCCTCCTCCTCCTCCTCCCTCCTCGGGTCGCCCACGGCCCCGGGCGAAACCGTGCACGCCCAGGGGCTCGCGGGCGCGAGCCTCGGCATGACGATGACGGTGTCGCTAGCGATCGCGCTGCCCTACTTCGCGACCGCTCTGGTCGTGGACAGGGTCCACCGCTGCACCTACGCGGCGACGTCGCAGGGCCTGCCGTGGTCTGCCTACTGGGTGGGCACGCTGCTGAGCAACTATCTCCACTTCCTGGCGCTATCCCTCGTGGTCCCGCTCGGCCTGCTGGTCTTCGGAGCGCCGTTCTACGGGGAACCGGCTCAGCTGGCGAAGACGCTTCCTGCGGTGCTGTGGGCTCCAGTGCCGATGCTGCTCTTCGCGTACGCTGCCTCGCGGCTTTTCCAGTCGGCTGAGGCCTGCTCCAAGTTCATGCCCGGCATCAGCCTGCTTGCATCCGTGCTGCCCTTCCTCGCCGTGTACATCATGACTCTGATCAGCGTGTTCGTGCAGATGGGCGCCCTGGCCTGCCAGATGGCCGACCCCGCGCAGCGGCGCCAGTGCGAGCAGGAGAAGGGGCTCGAGTTTGGCCAGACCATGCACATGTGGGCCAACAGCCTCCACACCACCATGTCCTTCGTCGACCCTTTCTACTGCCTGCCCGGCACCTTTGCGGCTATCGGGCTGACCATCATACCCGCGGAGCCCGTGCTGAGCGCTTAGTTGGCCGTGGAACCGGCAGGGCCTTTTCTTCACCGTTTCCGAACAAGCGTCTCTTGACAATGGAAACGGTAAAGGAACGGCGACCTTAAACGGCAGAACGTCGACTCCGGGATTGGAGCCGGAGCCGGAATTGGGAAACCAACGGCGACGGAATCTGGACCAAAACAGCGCCAGAGTTGGCGAAGAAACAGCAAAGCGGAAACGGCAAATAATCGGCTATATGTAAGAGTGACTTTTCGCCAGATTGCCTTCTGGTGCGGGCCCAATGGGCTCCCCCCGATCGCTGAGTGCGATGTCACAGCAGCGGCTTGCGCACCTGGTCGTGCTCCCAAAGGACCCCCCCTTGGGCCGCGCACCAAAGGTCACTCTTGCCCAGGGCCACTCCTGCGTTTGCAGCCAACCCGCGTAACTAGTCAGGATGGGCAACCTTCCCAATGGTACCCTTGCATCCTTCCCCGTCGGTTCATCCCTGGTCGCTTTCGCTGGCCGCGCCCCGCTCGCAAAGTGCCGACATGGCCTTCTAAGGCCCTTGCATCCCTATTCTGCATCCTTACTGATTATGGTTCCCAGACATCCGCCGATATGATTCTTCCAATCCGCGGCCCCAGAGGTCCCGACCCCTTCCCTGGGGGTGGCTTTTCGTCCCGGATCAATGTTTGATGGTCCCCCAGCCCGATGACGGGCCCGGAGGCCGAAATACAGGAAAAAACGCCGGATTGAACAAATCATACCCTCGGACTTCTGGGTTTGACTGCCGAAAGAAGCGGCCCTGTCGGTTCTAGGATCGAGCGTGGCCGAGCGTGCCAATGGACTCGTCCAAGATCGCCGAGGGGGCGAGGAGGAGGAGGAGGAGGAGCAGGAGCAGGAGCAGGAGCAGGAGGAGGAGGAGGAGTGGGAAGAGGAGGAGGAGGAGGAGTGGGAGGAGGAGGAGTGGGAAGAGGAGGAGGAGGAGGAGGAGGAGGAGGAGGAGGAGGAGGAGGAGGAGGAGGAGGAGGAGAACGGGCCAGCCGAGGCCAGGCGTTCCGATCCGCATCGACGTGCAGTTCCCGGCCATCGCGGGCAGCACCGCGCTCCTGCCCGTGGTGGGCTCTCTGGCGCTCTCGGCCGCCCTGGGCCTCCGGGGGCAACGATCGGGGGGGATAGGCACAGGGGGGGATGCAGCGACCCCCAGTCGCCCATTGATCGCAGACAGGGGCCCGATGGTCCCAGCCTGCCCAGGGAGGTGCGGATGCACCACCAGGGGCCCATCGCCGATCTGTCGGCGATGTACCGCCGATTCCATGTCGATGCATCCCCCCTTTGAGCCAGTCCCCCCCCTATCGTTGCCCCTCAGGCCTCACGCTCACCTGGGACGCCGGCCGCCTCTCCCAGGGCGCCGCGGCCCTGCAGCGGCGCCTCTGGCCAGGGCGCTCGGGCGAGGTGCCCGGCGCCGCCGTGGAGCTCGGAGTCGAAGAAAAAGGCGACGCCCGCCGTAGCGACGAGGGCCTCCCAAGAGGCCCCCTCAGGGGGAGAGCGGGGGAAGGGTGGCGGTATCGGCAGACCTTTTCCTCTTGCGGTATAAACATAGAGTTTTGGCGCTTCGTGCGGATTTCTTGGATCCGCGCTGGGCCCCCCCTGGCGACGCCTCCGGCGCCGCCCCTGGCGCGCTCCGCGCGCCAGGGAGGGGGGTCCAGCGCGGATCCAAGAACTCCGCGCGGAGCGCCAAAAGTGTATGTTTGTATTGCTTTCTCTTCCTCGACAGAGGAGCAAAAGGTCCACCGATGCCGCCACCCTTCCCCCGTTCTCCCCCCTGAGTGGGCCTCTCGGGAGGCCCTCGTCGCCACGGCGGGCGTCGCCTGGAAGTGCTGGTCGGGACCAGGGCGAGGCCTGGGGAGCAGCGGTATCGATACCAATTGGTTTAGGTCGGGCATGTCCCTCGACAGGAGGAGAATTCAAAAACGGTCAACTGATCGTTAGGGGACGACTTTTCGATGACCTGTGCGTATTTTTGAATACTTCCATTTTTCGTCCCAAGTTCGCCTCTAGGGGGACATGCCCGACCTAACCTTTGGTGTCCCCAGAGGTGCCCGGCGCCGCCGTGGAGCAGCAGCTGACCGAGAGCCAGCCCGGGGCGGCGCCCCGCGCGGGCTGGCGGCACAGCGCGCCCCCGCTCGATGAGGAGTCCGGGGTGGCGGAGGAGGAGCGGCGCGTGGCGGGCACCAGCGCCGCGGAGCACGCGGTGGCCTACCGGGGCCTGGTGCACACGTACAACGAGGGCTCCCGGCTGGAGGTGCGGGCGGTGCGCGGCATCTCCCTCGCGGTGGCGAGGGGCGAGTGCTTCACGCTGCTCGGCCCCAACGGCGCAGGGAAGACGACCACCCTGGACGTCCTGACCGGGGCCATCCGGCCCCCCACGGCGGGGGAGGTGAGCATCGACGGCCACAGCGTCACCGGGGGCGTGGCGAGCCGGCAGCGGGCACTCCAGAACCTGGGGAACTGCCCGCAGGTGAGCGACGCATGAACACGGGCCGTGTTCTCCGACACCGCGTGACGTCGCGCGTAATTGCCCTCGTCTCCAATGTGGCCTGCCACGCTGGCGGCCCGCGTGAGCCGCGGCGTCAGGCCGCTCTGTCACAGTGCGTAAGACCCGTTGCCTTCCGTCGCTCAGGTGGACCCCCTCTGGCCCTCGCTCACGGGCCGGCAGCACCTGCTCTTCTACGGGCGGGTGAAAGGCCTGCCCGCACACCTCCAGGCCCTGAGCGGGGGGATCTCCTACACAGCGTTGACCAGCGTTGACTACAGTCGGCGGAAGCTCAGCGTGTCTCGCCGCCCGTCCTGGCCCACGCGCTTCGGCGCGGCACGCTGGGCACCTCCCAGTCCACAACCGTTCGAGCTTTTCCCAGCCTCCAGTCCCGCGAGGCAGATCGACACGCTATCATCTTGCAAGGCATAGCGTGTCGCAGGGGTCGCCGCCGCGACACGCTAAGCAAACGCTCGTCACCGTGGCCTCAGAGATGAACCGTGGCCCCACTGTGCAGTGGTGCGAGTGCCACCCAGTGGTGGTGAACTTTCATCTCTGCGGCAGCTCTCTTTGGCAGGCAGTTCTCTATTGCCCAAGCGGCCTCAGGGCATCTCGAGCAGTACCCTCCAGAGATCTCCGGGGCGCCTCGGAGCACTCTGGAGTGGGTCGCGGCGCCCCGTGCGCGTGCCCTCTGCGCTCGCCAGATTCCAGGGCTCCCTATTTTCGCTCGTGCCCGAGTTGCTCCCATCCCAGAGGAGGAGGAGGAGGAGGAGGAGGAGGAGGAGGAGGAGGAGGAGGAGGAGGAGGAGGAGGAGGAGGAGCAGAGCAGAGCAGATCCTCATGGAGTCCCTGTCAAGCAACAGACTACGAGCCCGAGAAAACTTGACTGTACTCTGAGAGGGTTCCTTCGAAACCAGACGACTGACGATGCGAGCCCCTCTCAGGCTCACAGCACGAGACTGCATTGGCCGATGGGCGCCCCCATAGGCACGCAGCCCTCAAAGGGGGCCCATACATTAGGCGCGGCGACCCCGTCCATTCCCACGCCCACCAGAGCTCGACACCCGCCCCCCCCTCCCTTGGGTGCGGCCGCCGCGGCCACGATTCGAAGGCATATTAATTACAGGAATCTCAGGAGCTGATGCTGCTGCGAATCCTTCTGGAAGAATAGCTGGGGGCCTACTTACTGCCTGAGCTATTTCATCATGTGTTATACTTCCTGCTGCTACTAATGCTGCTAAACGCTGACTACTCGCCATCATTGGAAGCCTGCTAGCTAACAGCTCACGACTGTCATGCACACTGCTGCTGCTGGCACGGGCTGGCGGGGGAGGCGCCTCCACTGTCCGAGTCGACGGGCTCCCGAACGGCTGAGATCGACTCACGCCGTGTCCTCCCGATCGAGGTACTTCGATATCTCCCTCTCGAGCGGGCCGCGCGGCGCCGCCCCTGAAAGGAAGGAGCCCCCCTCCACTGCCACCAGTGTCTCTATCATAGGTCCGATCACTGCGCCCATCGTGTCGTGCAGGTCCATCTTGAACAGAAACGTGGCTTTGTCCTTCTGGCCCTCTACTTTGCGGTGCACACGAACTCGGAAGTACTGAACTGCACGGGCCACCACAGACAGAGATACCCGCGAAAGCTTCTCGTCCCAGAGCTGGCACATATCCTTCTTGAGCTTCTGCGCGCGCTCGCGCAGTGCTGGATCCCCTTCTTCTGCCACTGCCTTCGTTGCTCCGTACTCCCATACTGCCATGAAGATTTGAATATGAGGTGCGGCGCGTGACTTGTGGTCTACCTTCCCTCCACCGTCTGTGAGCTTCTTCATCTCCTTGCTCGTCTCGTTGTAGGCCACTCCTGCCGCGAGTGCGGCCGCGATGATGCCCTGGCCTGCGTCCATCTCGTACCGCAGATACACCACGGCTCCTAGGTCTGCGAGCTCTCGACTGTTGGCCAACATCAGCTTGCATATGACTAAGATGATTTTGTCGAGCGGAATGCGACCTCCCTGGCCGCCCGTGGTCTCCTTCTTGCCTCGCTTGGTCTCGGGCGGGGCGCCATCGACTCCTGGGGAGTTGACACCTTTGTACAAAGCAGGTCTCTGCAGAGCCTCTGCTTCCATGATGGAAGCCGTGTCCGTCGGTAGTTACGGTACGAGAGGTTGTCACGAAGGGCGCAATCTGGACAGGTAGATGGCTCCGAAGATGGCAACAGAGGGATAATGTATCCATTCCCACAAAGTCACAGCATGGGCATTCGTAGGACGACGGGGTATTCAGCAAGCCCAAGGTACGGGGCCCGCATGTGAAACAGTTTCCTTTCTGCAGGGAACGTAATATAGGTCGTGCAGCAGTAACTTGCGTTGCAAAAGTCTGTAAGCAGTGTATACATACGTTGCTTGGCGTAAGTACATGAGCTAGATTGCGTAGATTATGGCAAGGACGTAGGTGTTCAAGTAGCTTTTTTCGAACCCTAAAGGCGCTCTGACAAGGCTCCCCGTTGAGGTCCATTGGGCACATGAAAGGTAAGTCCAATTCAGCATGTTCTTCGGGATCCTCGCGAGGTACCTCTGGGGGAGCAAATCCTGGCGGGGGGTACTCACCGAGAAGACTTGACTACGAAGTTCGTTCATATCCACTCTCCGAAAGTCCTCTGAGGCCTCCAGGTCATGAAGTAGGCGCAGGTCGTTAGCAACATCTCGCACTCCCTCGTAAGGTAATAGCTTGGCGACACGATCGAGATCTGAGGCAACTTGTTTCGTCCGCGGCGAAGAGTGAAGTGCAGGCCGACCGCCTGTTCCAAGCTGCGGTCGCATGAGTTCGACAGGCGAAGAACCACAACGCGCACATAATATCTGAGTATGTTCCTCAGGGTGCGCACTCCACGCTTGATACAGCTTGACGCGGCGAACCAGGAGCTCCAATGATGAGGGGACCAGCTTCCAATGAGAGAGTACATGTTTGTTAGATAATGTTTTCACGTGCGGCCCGTCCCAGGAAGTAGCGTTGTCTAACATAGCTATACGCCCAAGACTTGCCAGACAGCCATCTAGAATAGTAGTGTCCGTCTCCGTAACCACGAAACTCTCAAGTCCACTCAAGATAGCGTTCTGAACGAACCCGATGAAGAGGCTCCGTTTCCACCTTTTCGGGATCCCAAGACTCCATGCCCTGCCCAGGGAGAAGAAGCCAGAGCGAGCCGCCGAACACCTCCTGGAAATCTCAGACCTAGCAGAGACACCTAACTGCAAGTGAGGCCCGAGATATCTCGCCTGTTCCTTGATGGGGCCCTGGAGGAGGGTGGGGTTTTGGCGGAGCAGCTGTCGACACTGATAGCCGCGTGCAGCGAAAAAAAGATATACTCTTGCTTGGCACAATTCTGGCCATACCCGAACTCCGTCAGATAAGAATCCAATCTCGCATCAACCGCTGTGATCTTCCGCGTGAAGTCGCTCAGCGACGTGTTCGGGTCGGCTAGCACAAAACTGTTGATATCATCCGCAAACTTGTACGTGCTCAGGTCGGCTTGTCGTCCCTGCCAGGATGCTCGCAGTCGCTTGGACTGTGGATCAGCTTGGGACCCACCATGCCTCCAAGACAAAATTGGACGTGCGAAAGTGCCCACGAAAGCTCGGACAGCGAATGGATCCCCCATCGTGTTCCCCTGAGTAGGTCGAACTGTGAGAGGGCCTTCCAGCGCTTCCAAAGAACTAATTGCATTCTTGTATCGTTGTTGGCATAAAGCGTGATCGCATTCACGGGAGTGAAGAAGTACGGTTTCGTCTAACTGATCCCATTGAGTGCTGCCGAAAGCGTTGGACATGCCTTTGAGCGTCATGGCGTGTGTGATACTCTGAGCTCGTAGACGCCACGATGTAATCAGCGCTCCCATGACGGCATCCTCGCGGCGACGGTGTCGGTAGTAACCGTGGTCCTGGACAGCAGGGGGTGGAGTCATCAGTGTAGAGTAGTATGCCTTCCCGAAAGCTGCCATAACATGCACCACACGACGACCGCGAGGACCAGCAAGATAAGATTTGCGCAGGCCTGCCCCTTCCGTCCGATGCCAGTAGAGCGGGCTGATGTTGTGCATCCTGATTTTTGCTAAGCCCACTTCCACCAGAAATCTGAAACCTGAAGTCGACGGCACACTCAAGTCAGTTCCTATGCCCTGGCCACGTCGCTGTCGGAGGGCTTTCTTTGGTAAGAAAGCATCAGCCAGAGCTCTAACGGTGCCGTCGAATCTGAAACTGCTCGTCGTTTAGCTGCGTGTCGCATCCAGCGAATAACTCGATCAACATCATCCTTACATAGATCCATAATCTCTTCCGTATTTTCCCAGAAAAACTGTTGGCCATTCCTCTCATCACGCCATTCGAACCAATTCTGGGGGTGAACTGCCATACCACCTTGCGCACCTTCCAGGGACCACACACTCAGCCAAGCCTCAGAAGTGGGTGGTGCAGTCCGAACAAGAAGCCCATCACGTTTCTTAGGTCCTATGCGCGTGCGTGCCGCCCGACGTGCCAACTTCATTGCCTCTGCTTGCTTCTGGTGATTCCACAAGTCAGTCACTTCGGACACCAACTGCGATTGAAGGGCACGGGCGGCTTTGCGTCGCTGAAGTCGCTGCTCTTGAGATATGCGCTTGAGTTCTTCATCAATATGAACCGCCTCCTCAGGGGAGGCCTCCATCTTACCTTCGCGTATGTCTGCTCGCACATGAAGTAAGCGCCGTCGTTCTCTGCACTCAGCCTGTCTCCGAGGGGCGCCACCGTGCGTCGCCATGCTGAAGTGAACTTGTCCCGCCTTCGTAATACAATCTTCCAGCAACTCAAATATCTCATCAGGGGAAGCATAATCTCGCATATATTGATACCCGCCTCGCTGGTCTAACTGCTCTTGAACTGATGTGAGAAAGCCAGCCTTTTTTTGACCTCGTTGAAGGGCTGACATAAGTTTATCATGATCCCAGCGGAGGCGTGTCTGGGCGTCCGTAGGGCCAATCGTATGCTGCGCGTACCACAAAGTACATTCAATCGGTAGGTGATCACGAGGACTGGGGCCCTGGTACGCCTGAAGTCGAGCACCGAGTCGTTGGAGGAGGAGGAGGAGGAGGAGGAGGGGGAGGGGGAGGTGGAGGGGGAGGGGGAGGAGGAGGAGGAGGAGGAGGAGGAGGAGGAGGAGGAGGAGGAGGGCGAAGAGTCGCCACTCCAGCCCCCGACAGGCGCGCCTCCCGCGACGCGGCCTGGTCTGGCGAGCTGCCCTTTTCCGGTGGGGCGCCGCGAGGGGGACGAAGGCAGCCGCGCGCGTTGCCTCGCGTGGCGCGCAGCGCGACGCCAGAGGTCCTGCGCCCCTGCCCCCGGCCCTCGAGAGGCTCGGAGAGCAAACAACTGCATAGACCAAGTCTTTCGGAGGTCCGCGCGGCTTTCTCGGGCCAGCGCTGGGGCCCCCCTGGGCGGCACCTCCGGCGCCGACCCTTTGTGCGCTCGGGTCCAGCGCCGAGGCAGGAAGTCCGCGCGGACCTCCGCAGGCTGATGTGTTATGCTTACGGTCAGGAACTTTGGCTCGGCGTGTCGCGGCGCCAGTTCTGGCCGCGCTTCGGCGCGTCGCGCTATCCACGTCGCCGTTCCAGAGCGTCCGCGTCCCGAGCCTTCCCGAGCCTCCCGCCCCGCGGGGCGGCGCGATACGCTATCCGCTTGCAGGACGTAAGCGCGGCGCCGGGGCCGCCGCCGCGACACGCGATGCGAAAGTTCCGGACCGCACATGTTATGCTGATGAGTGTGTCCTTTCCCCCGCATCGGTGCCGGGCAGCCTGCGCGCGCCCCGCGCCGGCCTTGCCGACTCGCGAGCGATCGCCGAGTCCGCGACTCAAGTTTTGAGGAGGAGGAGGAGGAGGAGGAGGAGAAGGAGGAGAAGGAGGAGGAGGAGGATAAGGAGGACGAGGAGGAGGAGTAGGAGGAGGAGGAGCAGGAGGAGGAGGAGGAGCAGGAGGAGGAGGAGCTGGAGGAGGAGGAGGAGGGGGAGGAGGAGGAGGAGGAGGAGGAGGAGGAGGAGGAGGAGGAGGAGGAGGAGGAACATTCCGCGGCACAAACGTTGATGCATCTCTTGCTGCTCAGCACGAGGCCGAGCAAGCGGACGCACTCCTGCGTGCGCTCGGCTTCTCGGCCTTCGACGCGAACAAGCCCACGCAGGGCTACAGCGGCGGCATGCGGCGGAAGCTCTCGCTGGCCATCGCCCTCGTCGGCTCGCCGCCGACGCTGCTGCTCGACGAGCCCTCCGCCGCGGTCGACGCGGCCGCGAAGCGGCACCTGTGGAAGGTGGCCGGCTGCGGAGGGCAAACGGCACCGGCACGTGGCGCGCTGCGAAGAGGGCCTCGCCCATGGATCACCGGGCGCGTTCCACTATTTGCAAAGTGCCTACTCGCAAACGCCAGAAAAACACATGCCTGCTTCGATCGAGGATGCGGGCGGCGCATCACCGGCCGCTCCCTGGGAGTTTGCCGAAGTGGTGCGCAGCATCGAAAGTCGTGACGCGGCGCGTATGCCAGCTATCGAAGACGCCTACGGCGAATCACCGCCGCCCTTTGTGGAAGCGCCTATGTGGCCGAACGTTGAGGCCAGACCTGCCAAGCTATCGGACCATGTATTCTACGAATCAGTTTGGAAAGCCTTCGGGGAACACGTGAGCATCTTGAAGGTCATCTTGGCCGCCTGGAGGCTATTTTGACCCTTTCGGGCCTTCTTGGGGGACGTCTTGGAGGGCTCGTGGGCTGTCTTTGAGGCCATCTTGAGCGTCTTGGAGGCCTCTTCGGCCGTCTTGGGGGCCTCTTGGGGCCGTCTTGGGCGCCTCTTGGGCCGTTCTGGGGCCATCTTGGAGGCCTCTTGGGCGATCCTTGGGTGATCTTTGGAGGCTCTTGGGCCGTATCGGGCCGTCGGAAGGCCGAAACGAAACGAATGTCAAAATCCTTTACAAACCTGCGGAATATTAATATTTTTTGGCCTTTCCTAGCCTTCCTGGAGGCCCTCTTGGAGGCTTCTTGGGCCGTCTTGGGCCAGCTGCGAGCCACCTTCGGCCATCTTGGTGGGCTCCTGGCCCGTCTGACGCCGTCGGAAGCCGTTCGGGGGGCCTTTCTGGGCCGACTTGGGGCCCTCTTGGATGCTCCAGGGCCGTCTTAGAGGCCATTTTGGGTGTCTTGGAGGCCTCTTTGGCCGTCTTCGGGCCCTCTTGGGGCGGTCTTGGGGGCGTCATGGGGCGTCATAGGGGCCATCTTGGAGGCCTCTTGGGCGATCTTGGAGCGATCTTGGGAGCCTCTTGGGCCGTCTTGAGCTGTCGGAAAGCAGAAGAGGCGCAAATGCCAAAACCATTCAAAAACATTACGAACATCAATGATTTTGGCCTCGTCGGGCCTTCCTGGAGAACCTCTTGGAGGCCTCTTGGGCCGTCTTGGAGGCCTCTTGCGGCCCTTTTAGGCCGTCTTAGACCATCTTGAGGCCATCTTGGGCCGTCTTGGGTGCATCTTGGGGCCATCTTAGCCGTCCTGGAGGCCGTCTTGGCCTGTCTTGGAGACATCTTGGAGGCCATCCTGGGACATCTTCGCCGTCTTGGAGGCCATCTTGGGCCATCTTGGGGCAGCAAAGGCGATGACGGAGCAATTTTCGGCAATCTCCCGGGACCCTGGCGGGATGCTCCGGAGGCCCAGGGGAGTTCTTTTGGAAAAAGAACCAAAACCAAAACCGATAGGATTCGGCACGCCGGGCACCCCTTTGATAAATCAAAGGGGGGCGGCGGATCGAAGACGCCTACGGCGAATCACCGCCGCCCCCTGTCTTTTTGGAAGCGCCGCTGTGGCCGAACGTCGAGGCCAGACCTGCCAAGCTATCGGACCATGTGTTCCCCGAATCGGTTTGGAAAGCCTTCGGGGAACACGTGGGCATCTTGAAGGTCATCTTGGCCGTCTGGAGGCCATTTTGACCCTTTCGGGCCTTCTTGGAGGACGTCTTGGAGGGCTCGTGGGCAGTCTTGGCGGCCATCTTGAGCGTCTTGGAGACCTCTCGGGTAGTCTTGGGGGCCTCTTGGGGCCGTATCTTGGGCCTCTTGGGCGATCTTTGGGGGCACTTGGGCCGTCTCGGGCCGTCGGAAGGCACAGAAAAAATGCAAATGCCACAATCCTTCAAATACCCATGGGAAATTAATGATTTTGGTTTTTCGGGCCTTCCTGGAAGCCCTCTTGGAGGCCTCTTGGGCCGTCTTGGGGCATCTTAGGGCCATGTTCGGCCGTCTTGGTGGGCTCCTGGTCCGTCTGACGCCGTCGGAAGCCGTTTGGGGGGCCTCTATGGGCCAGCTTGGGGCCCTCTTGGGGTGCTCCAGGGCAGTCTTGGAGGCCATCTTTGGCGTCTTAAAGGCCTCCTGTGCCGTCTTGGGGGCCTCTTGGGGCCGTCTTGGGGCCCTCTTGGGCCTCTTGGGCCCTGGGGCTTCGGCCCGTCCCGCCGGCCACCCGGAAACTGCACGAGTCAATGCCTGTTCCGCCCCAAGACGGTCCAAGATGGTCCCAAGACGGCCAAGATGGCCCAGGATGGCCTCCAAGACGCCTCCAAGACAGCCAAGATGGCCTCCAAGACGGCAAAGATGGCCCCAAGATGCATCCAAGACGGCCCAAGACGGCCTCAAGATGGTCTAAGACGGCCTACAAGGGCCGCAAGAGGCCTCCAAGACGGCCCAAGAGGCTTCCAAGAGGTCCTCCAGGAAGGCCCGAAGAGGCCAAATTCATTGATTATCCAAAGGTTTTTGACGGATTTTGGAATTGGCGCCTTTTCGGCTTTCCGACAGCCCCAGACGGCCCAAGAGGCTCCCAAGATCGCCCCAAGATCGCCCAAGAGGCCTCCAAGAGGGCCCCATGACTGCCCCAGACGCCCCCAAGACGGCCCCAAGAGGGCCCGAAGACGGCCCAAGAGGCTTCCAAGACGCCTACGATGGCCTCCAAGACGGCCAAGACGGCCTCCAAGACGGCCCCGAAGCGCCCCAAGAGGGCCCCAAGAGGGCCCCAAGAGGGCCCCAAGTCGGCCCAGAAAGGCCCCCAAGACGGCTCCCGACGGCGTCAGACGTGCCAGGAACCCACCAAGACAGCCGAACATGGCCCTAAGATGGCCCAAAACGGCCCAAGAGGCCCCCAAGAGGTCCTCCAGGAAGGCAGGAAGAGGCCACAAACCTTGATTTGCCTAAGGTTTTTGACGGATTTTGACATTTGCTTCTTTTCGGCCTTCCGACTGCCCGAGACGGCCCAAGAGCCCCCAAAGATCGCCGAAAGGTCGCCCAAGAGGCCTCCAAGATGGCCCCAGAACGGCCCAAGAGGGCCCCAAGACGGCCCCAACAGGCCATCAGACGGCACAGGAGGCCTTTAAGACACCAAAGATGGCCTCCAAGACGGCCCTGGAGCACCCCAAGAGGGCCCCAAGCTGGCCCATAGAGGCCCCCCAAACGGCTTCCGACGGCGTCAGACGGACCAGGAGCCCACCAAGACGGCCGAACATGGCCCTAAGATGGCCCAAGACGGCCCAAGAGGCCTCCAAGAGGGCCTCCAGGAAGGACCGAAAAGGCCACAATCATTGATTTCCCAAAAGTTTTTGAAGGATTGTGGCATTTGCATTTTTTCTGCCTTCCGACGGCCCGAGACGGCCCAAGTGCCCCCAAAGATCGCCCAAGAGGTCCAAGACACGGCCCCAAGAGACCCCCAAGACGGCCCAAGAGGTCGCCAAGACGCTCAAGATGGCCTCCAAGACGGCCCAAGAGCCTTCCAAAACGTCCTCCAATAAGGCCCGAAAGGGTCAACATAGCCTCCAGACGGCCAAGATGACCTTCAAGATGCCCACGTGTTCCCCGAAGGCTTTCCAAACCGATTCGGGGAACACATGGTCCGATAGCTTGGCAGGTCTGGCCTCGACGTTCGGCCACAGCGGCGCTTCCAAAAAGGCAGGGGGCGGCGGTGATTCGCCGTAGGCGTCTTCGATCCGCCGCCCCCTGTCGATTCATCGCAGGGGTGCCTGGCGTGCTGGGCCTTCTCGGTGTTGGTTTTGGTTTTTGTTCCAAAAGAACTCCCCCTGGGGCTTCGGTCCGTCCCGCCGGCCACCCGGAAAGGATCCCAAAACGCGTCCGTCGTGCCTCTGTTTACTCCAGTTGGCCCAAGATGGCGCCCAAGACGGCCAAGATGGACCAGGATGGTCTCCAAGACGTCTCCAAGACGGCCTAAAATGGCCTCCAAGATGGCTAAGACGGCCCCAAGATGCACCCAAGACGGCCCAAGATAGCCTCAAGATGGTCTACGACGGCCCAGAAGGCCCGCAAGAGGCCTCCAAGACGGCCCAAGAGCCCCCCAAGACGTCCTCCAGGAAGGCCCGAAAGGGCCAAAATCATTTATTTTCCCCAGGTTTTTGAAGGATTTTGGCATTTGCGCCTTTTCTGCTTTCCGACGGCCCAAGACGGCCCAAGAGGCTCCCAAGATCGCAGATGAGGCCCCCAAGAGGGCCCCATGACGGCCCAAGTGGCCTCCAAGACGGCCCCAAGAGGGGCTCAAGACGGCCCAAGAGGCCTCCAACACGCCCAAGATGGCCGCCAAGACGCCCAAGATGGCCTCCAAAACGGCCCCGAAGCGCCCCGAGAGGGCCCCAAGTCGGCCCCGAAAGGCCCCCAAGACGGCTCCCGACGGCGTCAGACATGCCAGGAACCCACCAAGATGGCCGAAGTTGGCTCGCAGCTGGCTCCAGGCGGCCCAAGAGGCCCCCAAGAGGTCCTCCAGGAAGGCCAGGAAAGGCCAAAAATATTGATTTGCCTAAGGTTTTTGACGGATTTTGACATTTGCTTCTTTTCGGCCTTCCGACGGCCCGAGGCGGCCCAAGAGCCCCCAAAGATCGCCGAAAGATCGGGAGTTCTTTTGGAAAAAGAACCACATCCAAAAGCCATATCGTCTGGCACGCCAGGCACCCCTTTGATAAATAAAAAGGGGGCGGCGGATCAAATGGCAGTCGGCCCATCCCGCCACCGTGCCTCGGTTTCGGGTCGGAGTCTGCATGGACGCTTCTCGGGGTCTTTCGAGAGGGCTCTCGGGGGCCTCTACTCGCAAAGTGCCTACTCGCAAACGCCGGAAAAACACATGCCTGCTTCGATGTTATCCGTAAGGGCTTCGCCCCCGGCCGCTGGCCCCCTCTCTCGGAGAATGGGAGATGCAAAAGCTAAATCATGAGGTCTGGGCGCCGCCGTGAAGCAGTGTCGGGACCTGTGTGTTTTTCGACCCTGACCCTACGGATCTGCGTGATTTGGCAAATGCCTTGTGTCTTTGGACCCTGACCCTGCTGATCTGCGTGAGGGGTGTCAGGAAATTTGAGAAATGTGGCGAATCCCTAGTGTTTTTGGACCCTGAACCCGCCGATCTGCGTGAGGGGTGCCACCGAATGTCAGAACTGTGGCAAATCCTTATGTTTTTGCATCCTGAACCCGCCGATCTGCGTGAGGGGTGCCACCGAATGTCAGAAATGTGGCAAATCCCTTGTGTTTTTGCGCCCTGACCCCGCCGATCTGCGTGAGGGGTGCCACCGAATGTCAGAAATATCGCGAATCCCATGTGTTTTTGGACCCTGACCACCGATCTGCGTGAGGGATATCAGGAAATTTGAAAAATGTGGCGAATCCCCGGCGTTTTTGGACCCTGACCCCGCCGATCTGCATGAGGGGTGCCACCGAATGTCAGAAATGTAGCAAATCCTTATGTTTTTGCACCCAGACCCCGCCGATCTGCGTGAGGGGTGCCACCAAATTTCAGACATGTGGCAAATCCCCTGTGTTTTTGGACCCTGACCCCGCCGATCTGCGTGAGGGGTGTAAATTTTCACCCTCCCTGAAATTCTGAAAACTTTTTTTTGGTCGTGGTTAAAATATCCGTTTTGGGTCTCCCCCCCTCACGCGGCCCATCAACAAGAAACAGTAAGCAGCAAGAAGTCAACAAGGAACAGTAAGCAGCAAGAAGCAGAACTGTAACAGTGGAAACTGGAAGCTGCAACTGGTACAGGAAACTGCGAATTCCCGGCCTACAGCCTGGTGGCCCCGCAAGGGGGCCGGCGGATTTAGATCCTTCGCTGGGGATCCAGGCCATTTGTGAGTAGTGGAACGCGCTCGTCTAATGGAGAGGGGCCCAGGGAGTGGGCAGCTCTTCCTCGGCGGCAGGCCGGCGGAAGCAAGGCGGGGGCGGTTCCGCCAGGTCGTCGTTTCCTTATGCACTGTTTTGCCGATCGGCGCGGGCCCTCGCTTCCTCCCGTCCTCCCCTTCCTGGAGTAGATCGTGACTGTTTTTTGGGGCGCCTACTTCGAGCAGGCGAGGTGTCCCCCATAGGACACGCTGCTGCAAGCAGTCGCACTAAGCAGAGGTCCGGAGGCAGACCCCCCCCCCTGCCCCCCCTCTTCCGCCCAATGTCGAAACGCTGAATAAGAAAACGTGCACCAGCGGAAGCTGGCGGAAAGACGCCACATCTCGGCGGCGAGCCCAGGGGGGGGAAGTCAGAAAGGGGCGGGCCTTCTCAGAAGGCTCGGAAGTCCACCGGCCGTCTGCAAAGTTATCTGAACCTTCCCCGAAGACAGGAAAACTATTCTTAGAAGGCGCGAGGGATTCTGAGGAGTCCCACCGCCTTCTGAGGAGGCCCTCTCCTTCTCATTCCCCCGCTCGCTCGTCGCCGAACTTCAAGGTTGAGTCGGGCGTGCCCCTCTACAGGACGGAAAAATAGTCAGGCGACGATTTTTTGACCATTGTTGACTATTTTTGAAAATGTTTGATTCTTTTTTCATCCAAAATCAAGGGCAACGATTGAGGGGGATAGGCATAGGGGGGGATGCATCGACCCCCAATCCCCCTTTGATCGCCGATAGGTGCCCGATAGCCCCAACCTGCCCAGGAACGAAGTAGTCTGGGGACGATGTTGTTTGTATCATTTCTCGGCTAGTTGGGTGCATTTTGGGAGTGCTTTTTAGTTTTCGTCCCAAATCCGCCTGTAGGAGGACATGCCCGACCTAACCCCTTTTCCCTACCCCCCCCCCTCATCGTTGCCCCTCACAAAATCCTCCCGCAGGAGGACATGCCCGACCTGACGTTGAGGCCGCCCTGGGCGCGCGGGCCCCCGACTCCTCGGGGCTGCCCTCGGGCGGTCCCCGCGGAGGGCTCTGGAGGCCTCCCAGAGGTCTCTCCCCGCTCCACGTCCTCTCGGGGCGCTGCAGGAAGGGCCGCCTTGCCCTCACTGCCACCGCCTCCTGCCCCTCCTCCTGCGTCTCCTCCTCCTCCTCCTCCTCCTCCTCCTCCTCCTCCTCCTCCTCCTCCTCCTCGCGGCCAGAGGAGCTGGCGTCGCTTCCTCGGCGGCTAGGCAGCGGGAGCAGGACGGGGGCGGCGCTGCCGGGGGAGGCCAGCGGGAGGCCGTTGGAAGCCGGCGGGGTTGGAAGTTGCGTCCCCAAGAGATCACACTTTGTCTGGATCCAGGATCTCTGGGGAATGGACCACCGAGAGTACGTTGACCTCTTCGGGGTCCAGAGTAGCTTCATTTTGGAGTCGAGCAGCTTCATCCTGTTCCATAGCAGCCTCGTTTTTTGGTGCCACGCGCGTGCGTGTCCGCACGCAATAGGTCCCCAGTGGCTTCATGTTGGTGCCGCAAAGGCCTTGTTTTGGTGGCAACTGGCCTCGTTCGGTTCCAAAGTACCCTCATCTTGGTGCCTAAGGGGATCTGGTGAAGGTTCTGAGATTAGCTCGGGTGCCTCTGGAGTTAGTTTGAGTTTGTGGGATGGCATCCCCCAAACCGAACTGCCAATCCAACCCATCCAACCCGCGACCGATGGCACAGTAGTAGCACTGATGTACAGACTCAGCACCGCGCCGCGTCGAATGTTTGAGTCTACCAAGTCGGCTTAGGACCCACCGCAAGTCTTTAGGGGCTACCACTCAAGTGTGCAGGACACATCGCACACCCTCAGCCTTGAACCCGAAACCCTGATGGGCTGGTGGGCTGATGGGCTGGTGGGCTGATGGGCTGATTGGAAAGGGTCTACCGTCAGCCCATCAGCCCACAAGCCCACCAGCCCACCGTATCCAAGGGTTGGGGGAGGCGCAGCCACAGGTTGGGGCGAGCGGAGCCAGGGGGTTATAGACTAACCATGTCTTTCTATCGTTTTTCTTTTCTCTCTCAGGTTGAATATGAGACACAATTCTATTGCAGACGACGTGCGTGTGCGTTTGTTTGTGTGTCTGTGAAAGAGGAAGGACATGAGGTAGACAGTAATTGATTTTGATATTTGCATGACGATCGACCAAACAGTGAAGTTACGAAATAATTGAAGGAAGTCGCAATTAAAGCACAAGTGTGAAGAAAATAACACCTCCTCCCCAGCGCGCGGAGCGCGCCTGGGGCGCCGCAGGCGCCGCCCAGAGGGCGCGGGGAGGAGGAGGAGGAGGAGGAGGTGGAGTAGGAGGAGGCGGAGCAGGAAGAGGAATGCCCAGCGCCGACTCAAGTAATCTGTGCGGACCGCCGGCAGCGCATGCGGACCGTCAGGTGGTGAAGCAGCGCGAGCGGACCCAGACCGTGATCCTGACCACCCACTCCATGGAGGAGGCCGAGGCGCTGAGCGACCGCCTGGCCATCCAGGCTCCGGTGCGCTGGCGGGGCGTGTGGGGGGATGGGCTCAACTCCTCCTCCTCCTTCTCCGCCTCCCTAGCCATTTTGGCTCAAGGCGCTGATTTCCTCCGTGGGAAAAGTGGATACTGCTAGTCCGCGGCTGGCAAGGCTTGTTCGAGCCTGGTACCCCCTTTTAGCCTGCCACCTCTAGGGCTTTGCAGGCGGCCCTTCGCATTCCTCCCATCGCCCTGTTGGGTGAGGGTGAGGGCAAGGTGTGGAGTTTCCAGTTCCGTTGTTCGACAAGGCGGATGCCTGACAGACTCAACA